ACATATCACCAGAATCATTGACAGGAGGACCACTTATTTTGATGATCCACAGGGAAAAAGAACATCCTTCACTATACCTTTAACTGGAAGGAAAACGTTTGATTAAATAAGTGCACAAAACTGAAGGATAAAAGCAGTCCTGGGAGAGGCCTATCAAAAGTTTGAACAATATTAATGACAGAGCCTGTAGTTAGAATAGGAGCTTCAGGAGCTACGCACTTGGCTCCATCTCTTCTTTTCTGTTTTAAGTCACTCATGAACCATTAAGATAGTGAGAATTCACTTGTCAATGAAAAAAAGGACTGGACCCTGGCTCAGTTTTTTAAAGCCCTCTTCAATATGAAAGTACATTTTAAAGCTCAATTTGTTCATTCCAGAGTATGGATGAAGAGTGGAGAGTCATAGAACCCAAATTAATTGAGGTCCAATTGGAAGATTCCCCAGTCAGTGACAATTTACAGAAATGACTAATCTGCTGTTACTGCACACTTGTCTTATCAAGCCCAGGTAATCAGATCAACAGAGATGCAGGACTCGTGATCTGTTCACACTGCCAAAAGTACAAACATCTGGAAGATGAGAGACCCCAGACCAAACACAGCATATATCTTGAAGGCTGCTTTTAAAGCATGCTGGGGTTTCACTCAGCAGAGCATTGTTTTGATTGCATCCATGCAGTGCTGCTATGATGCAGCACTTCATGCAAAACTGAGCCTGACCAGGTATTGATAGCATGTATCGTACAGTACATTGGGCAACATTTCTACATAAAAAACTGTTTCATCTTATGTGACATTTTAAATATCAGAGAAAACGAATTTCAAGATTCTAATTAGCTGGAAGCTTTAATCGTCAAAATACTGGTAACAGAAATACTGCCTCAATTAACCCTTTAAAGCCCAATCCAAGAATAAAACAAAACAGAAAATTACTTTTTTTTGGTTTGAAGTCCTTATTTGGCCTTTTAACAAAATATGTAAAAAGAGAAAACAAAAATACATTTTTGATATTAATAATTTATTACTATGCGATAAGTCAAGATTATTTTTTGTGTAGTCTTCTGCCCTCTGTTAACAGGTATACCTGATTGTGTACAATAGGATTTTGAGCAAAGTTTTTACCATTAAATAATGCAAAAGGTGTCAGACGCAAAACATTTCAGAAACCGTATGTATCAAATATGATACATTTGGCATTACAGGGTTAATGTATTAAGAGGTCACTGGACTACATCCTAGACAGGGAATATGTAAAATTATATATATAGATATAGATATATCTATATCTATATATATATCTATATCTATATATATATTTTTTTTATGTATTTTTTTCTAAAAGGTCTCTCTATGTGAACATAAAACAGCAGATCCTAACAGCTGTCACCCACCAGATGGTGGGTTAGCCAAAATATTCTGTAGTTAGAAAATATATGGTTTAAGTAAAAAGATTAAAATGCAATTCTAATTTTTTTTTACAGAATAAAATGTAGGGGTTAGGCTTCACTTCAGCAGTATCCTTATTGTCATGCAGTCTGTTACGGCCGCTAGCAGATGGCAAGCCTGTTCAATATCAAGCCTGTGCTCTTCTCAAGTGAAAAAATATGCTTCACAGCCTTTTGTTTTTCAGCCTTAGTCAAATCCTTTCCTTTTACAAGCATTTGCTGCAGAAAATATCAAGCCCACATCATATTATCTAATAATCATAATGTCTCTTATGGTGCATATTAAGTTCTGGGTTATGTAGCACTTACTCAGCAGTTCTCATCAGTGTTACATGAAAGCTTCAATTACAATATGCCACTAAGTCCACCGTGGGCTGTAACCTCGCATCTGTTACATTTCACACATTATGTACTGGAGGTAATAAATGCTTCCATAAAATCCTCCTGTTATCATTTCATCTTCATGTGAGGAAAGAATTATGTCATTTTATCTGTGTCAATTTGCCTTTGGTTTGTAATCCTCAAATTCAAAAGAGAATCAAATAATCAGTTGAAAGCTTCATATTGGGTTGTTTCTGAATCATAATTCTTGGTTATAGCTTAATTAAAATGATAATAATATCATATCTAACTGCTCTGTTAAATGCATAAATTAATTTTATAGTAAACCCATGACTATATCATGCTTTGGTAACAGCTATGTTGAATAATTTTTGTTAATGTCAGATTTGAATAATCTTTCCCTCGAGTAGCAAATTGACAGTTGTCTACAGTAGGCCAGCCTCCTGAACGGATTTCAATTTATCAATGAAAATGAAAGAAAATGGCACAACCACAAATTTGCTGACATGCAGTCCTTCTTCACTTCGAAAAGCCAGAACAAGAAAAATATGAAAAAAATAACACAATTACTCTTTCCATTAAATAAGAAATGCAATCAAAATCCCATGTGAATAAGTTTGTTAACATGAAAACTTAAAAACAATGGCACCCATGTCAACCTGGAGCATTTCTTTTATCTTCTCTGTCTTTTTCATCCATTATAACATCAGGTTGTTAATCAAGTGACACATATGAGTCACTTGATGGTGTATTTGGGAAATACACCAGCTGAAAAAACAGCTAATCTTAGTGTAAATCATTTGATTGAAAAACAAGCACGTTTTAGAAATAAAAATTTCAACAATTTGACGGTGAATAGAAATACAGCTATAGAAGCAGATTCATGGGGAGGAGCAGCAGAGATCTAAAACATATGAAAGAGAATTTACAAACTCAATGGTTATTAGTTTCTAAGTCCATAAAAAATAAGCTACTATAGAGAAGTGATAAGCAAGCAGCTATTGTTGTTGAAAGAAAGCCATAAGCCATATGGGAGACACAGGAAATGATATTACCCAAACTATTCCTTTGTGTCAATCATTCCTTATATGCAATCTATGTGGAAAACTAAAATCACTTGTTACTAAAGACAGGATCTGACTCTAAAAAAATAGTAGTGACAGCATTACACTACATTATAGGCCCTCTTTTATTTACTATTTATATAAATGATCTTAATCGGCATGTGTCTGATGCAAATTTTCATTTTTATGCAGATGATACAGTTATTTACTGCTGTGCACCTTCTCTTAAACAAGCCATTGCACACTTACAGAATGCTTTTAATGTGGTCCAAAATACTTTGCTACAGTTGAAACTTGTGCTCAATGCAGAAAAAACTAAATGTATGCTTTTCACAGACCTTCGGAACAGGTCACTGAATGTTCCTTCAGTGGTTACTCTTGATGGTCGTGAAATACAGATAGTTTCAACTTATAAGTATCTTGGTATTGTCATTGATGACAACCTATCATTTAAGCCTCATGTTCACTGTCTAGTGAGAAAGTTGAGACTAAAATTGGGTTTTTACTTTCGAAATAAGCTGTGCTTTTCTTTTAATGTAAAAAAACGGTTGGTGGCATCCACTTTTTTAACTGTGCTGGACTATGGTGATATATTATATATGCATTCATCTGCTCAATGCCTGCAGATGATAGACGCAGCCTATCACGCATCATTGAGATTTATTACTAATTGTAAAGCTCGCACCCATCACTGTGAGCTGTATTCTCGTGTAGGGTGGTCTGCCTTGGCTACACGGAGGCTTTGTCATTGGTATATATTTATATATAAGGCTATTCTTGGTGCGCTTCCATCTTATTTATGTTCACTTCTTATGAAAAAAAGTACTGGTCATTACTCTCTCCGTTCTCAGGCTGTTGTCTTGTTTTCTGTCCCACGTGTCAGTACTGAGCTGGGTAAAAAGGCCTTTGCTTACTCTGCTCCCTTTACATGGAATTTGCTGCAAAATAACATGAAACTTAGTAAATTGGTTCCTTTGAATACTTTTAAGTTGAGAATTAGATGTTTTGAGTTAGACTCCCTCACATGTCAATGTTTTAATTGAAATTTTATTGTAAGTGCATATTTGGCTTTTATGTGTGTGTCTTTTATACATATGTAATGATGTGATGTAATTTTGATGCCTATCTTGGACAGGTCTCCCTTGCAAAAGAGATTTTTAATCTCAATGGGTATTACCTGGTTAAATAAAGGATAAAAAAAAAAAATAAAATTACAGGAAAGAGTGTGCAGAAGTCTTTGTTTAGCAAGGACAGAAAAGCTGCTGAGAGGAGAAGTTGGAGCTATAAATATGGCAGTCCTGGAAGACAATATAACAGAACTAAAAGCATAGTATGCAGGTGCTGGAGTGACTCAGACATGGGTTTATGGCATATTCTATCTTACTGAAATTATTTTGTTGGAGAAAACATTTTGATTTTTGTTTCTATGTTTGCAAAACTGTTATCCAGATAACTATGGATATAACCAGAAAACTAACTATCCAGATAACTTATAAATTATATATACTAACCCCAGAACAGTAAATATAAGTGTATGCTGCTCTTTTGGATTTTTATTTGTCAAACTCTTTAAAAGCCCATGCATGCTTTTCCATGTGCTATCATAAATCAATTTGTGATTGAGATAAAAAGTAAAAAAATATATGTATCTTTTATGATTAATGAACCATCTAGCCGCTGATAAATAGAAATCTAATGCAAAATGGAAAGATGCCTTTTGATTTATTCTTAAAAGATTATTTTTCACTAAAAATGAAAAAAATCTAATTATGATTTTCTTTTGGACATCAAAAATCTCACCAGCTTGGCTGTATTATTGAGTCATGTCTTATTTATTTACCATTTGTACACACTTCTGTACAAACTCAACCAATTTCACAAGAAGTTCTCACACAACTTGTTTGTTCACAGGATAGGTTACAAATATCACAGAAAAGGAAATACATGATTAAACTACTGTCCACCAATATTTTAAAATAGAAGCATCAGAAAAAGGCTGTGTCAGTTTTCCTAAATTAAAAGACCACAGAAAAAAGCAGTAAATATAATATATTACTACAAATATTGTATATGTAATGTGTAAACAGATACTGCATTTTTACAGATCAAACATAGTTTCCCTCTGTAAAAGAATGACTATTTTGAAACAAAAAGAAAGATAGATAATGCCTCCCTCTTTCTTCTAGAGCAATTCAGTCCTATCAGTGAGCTTTTATTGGAAAGCAAGCAGAACTTCTTTGTTTTTAATCGATGCTTTCCAGCACTAAAGGGTGGATGTTCAAGGCTTTGGAGGCAGTATAAAATTCCTTACACACAACAAGACCCCATTTTGATCAAATGAGAAATGGCTGAATAATCAGAAGTTTTTATTTCTTCAAACTTTAAGCCTCTAGTCCCATAAACCAAACCAAATAGAGAATTACTGACAGCTGCAGAGGATTTAGTAGTTTTTCATGGGATCAGCTCTACTTCCAAACCCCTAAATGTGTTTTCCGCCAAGATTTCAAGAGAATAAGATTTATTTTCATGACTCAAATAATGAATCAACCACAAATGTTGTACTTTTTGTGCTGAGTTTAAATACTTTCCTATCAGCTACGGACACACCAATAATACAAACATGTAACTGTGAATTATATTATTATTTTTAAGCTAGAAAATGCATATTTACAGTATTAAAAATGACACAACACTTTATTTGCCCAGCTGTAGCTCATCTGTTTCAATAGCATGATTAAGTAAAAGCCAAAAAATAATTCACATTGCTATAAAAGTTAGCTATTATAATATCCTATCTTTTCATTTTATATGGTACACAATGTTAAATATGGCAACCCCTCAGTTATGTCTTCATTGGCACTAAATTTTGCTCAATCCTTGATACGTCTTAATAAATGCAACTTACAAGTCCATATATATTACATTATGTAAAGCTGAGGAGAGCTGACAGGTGATTGCTACGCATTCATGACGGCACTGCTTCTGTGTCACAGAGCTGAATACATTCAGTAAATCTAAATATAGTACATAAAATGTCTTACATTCACATAATGTTACATGGGGTTTCTCCAGAGAGCTTAAAGAATGTTCTTTCCTTTTTTTTCAATTACGATAAATTATTACACAACTAAACTCTATCTAAGATTTGTATAATGACAGTGTTAGACAAAACTCTCCAGAGCGAACATGTTCTCTATTTATGTCTTTTTATTCTGTTTGATCTATTTTTTTTTAAGGAACTGATTTTGTTTTATTCAAATATAAGATCAGAATAAACACGAATGGCATTTTTAAAAAAAGATTTCACTTGAAGCTACAACCTAGTTTACAGCTTTTGATTGTTCTTAAGACATCTATTAAAAATATGATTACATTTGAAAACAAAGTGATCCTGATACTGTCCAATTAAACCGCTTTGAAGTCCTCCATCCTTTACAGGTCCCTACAACTTCCAGAAGAAAAAGTAACTCTTGCACATTAAAAATCAGATACCATATAACATTTAACCACAATCCTGTTCATTTCTAGATTACTAGAGTCTTGATGTTATGTTATGGTCAATCACTGACCCCTTATATTGATCTCTGGCTTTGTGAAACTAAAACTTACTGGACTTTAAAAAATAATTCTCTATAAAAAGGAACTAAATTACTAGCTTTTTAGTTTATTCCCACATTTTTCCTAAATTAAATTAGCATCTCATGCAGAGCTCAAGAGGAAAAACTGGTTTCTTAAGATTCCTTGACTAGAGGCACTCGCATATTTCTAAGATCTTCTGAAACTCTATTTACTGTTCATTTGAAGGTCAAAGAATCAGACTCCTGTGGTTGAGTACTGTGTGTCATCAGTCAGCAGTCCATCCTGACCCCCTTCCTCATCTGACTGATCCACGCTTAGTCAGCCAGGCGCCCTCTGCACCCCTGCAGGCACACAAACAGATACAGGCTCCCTTGCACTATTCCGCGCCCTGGAGAAGCTGCTCTGCTCAGAGCGGGAGCGATACGGCAGACAGAAATCCTTGAAGCATCTCTTGAAATTCTCATCCAGAAAAGCATACAGCATGGGGTTTAGACTGCTGTTTGTGTAGCCCAGGGCAATGCATAGATGCCAACTGGCCATCACCAGCAGATTCTTGTGGTTGATCTCCACAATCGTCTTTACGATGATGAAGATGTGGATGGGTGTCCAGCAGACGATGAAAGCTGCCACGACCACCAGAACCATGCGAGTGATGCGCCGTAAGTTCCTGTCCTTCTCCTTGGAGCCGGACAGGATCCGGACATTCTTCAGCCGCAGGATCATCAGGCCGTAGCAGATGGTGATGACGAGGACGGGAACCACGAAGGCAAAAATGAACACAGAGATTTTCATCACTGTATCCCAGTACCATTCAGGCTCAGGAAATCTGAGCATGCAGGCAGTGTTACCTGGGGGGGCGAACAATTAGAGCTTTAATAGGAGGCCATGTGCAGAGGCTAATTTAGTTAATAACCCAGTTCAAATCACCCTTCCTGGTGTGTGAACTGCCTGAAATCAACACTTACAGCTGTAGTGATACAGAAAGTTTTTAATAAAGCAGAATTTTCGTTGTTTATTTCTTCTCACCTTTATCCGTCACCCTGGTAGCAGCCATGATCATCACTGGCACTCCCACAACAGAGGACAGGATCCAGATACAAACATTAATGACCTTCGCTTTGGCAGGCGTCCGGAAGTCCAGGGCTTTCACCGGATGGCACACAGCAATGTAGCGGTCAACACTCATCATGGTGAGGGTAAAGATGCTGGTGAACATGTTGTAGTAGTCAATAGCGATGACCACTTTGCACAGGAGCTCCCCAAAAGGCCAAGTGTTCATCAAGTATTTGGCACTTTGGAAGGGGAGGGTGCTGGTGGCCAGAGCGTCGGCCAAAGCTAGGTTGAAGATGTAAATGTTGGTGGCGGTCTTCATCTTGGTGTACCTGGTTTGTTTGGAAGAGAAGTCAAGGAATTCATTAGAATTAGAAGTAAGAAGCATTTGCTGAAAAGCACGGATGCTTTATTAGCTGCATCAATTCACATAAAATATTCAAACAGTTATTGCTTTTAATCATTTTACTGGAAAACAAAATCTTTGAGTTAAAAAGCATCTAATAAGATAGGATTCGTAGCTCAAGTGCCATACATGCCCAGAAGCCTTTGTAAACCTCAGAAATGAGTGTGGAAGCCTGATTGAAATGACATGAGTCTACTACAACAGAGAAATCTAACAGAGGATCATATTGATTTGCTATCTTAATTATGTGTTTTGTTTATTTTCCCAAAATAATGTTTGTTTTAATGACAGTAGATGAACACTAATAAGATTATATGCCTTTCTGGGGGGGGGGACTGGATGTACTATCAAGGACTGTCTTCACAACTTATAATGTCAGTGAAAAGCACTTTATAGCAGTAATTTAACTCAAAGACAGAAACATATGTATGGCTTCACATTTATTTCAAAACACCCGCGCATGGTTTATCTACCATTGCACAAAAAAAAATCACAGTTGTGCGAGAAACTGCTGCTTCGAGAGGAGAAAATCGCTCTCTGCGCACGCCAACTCCTTCCACGTGTGCTCTGGATCGTGCTCGGATCTCACCCCACGCACGATTTTCTATCCAGCGGCCACGCTCGAGGATGGCTGCGCTTCTCGAAAGTGTCTCTGACCTCAGACTGATTTTCTCCTCGCGAAAAGAAAAATGTGTTTTGACAGGTTGGGCGGAGACACACCTCTTCTGTAAGCCTCCTCAATGATGGGGCCTTGCAGACAAGATCACACGGGAAGTAGTGTCATGCAATACAGTGTAGTTGTACTTTTTACTTTTTTTCCCCTGAATTTTAATGATTGAAGGTTATATCTTCTAACACTGTAAACATGTCAAAAAAGCATATCTGATACAAAACTCTTACAGTTTCTCACAATCATGAGGATTTGAATGCCATCCACAAGGAGAGGAGAAAAAGGCCAAAAAGGCTACCTGCTGAAAAATCTGTGCTGTATGATTGCCTTTTGATGGAACATTGAGTGGAAGGAGAAGGTGTGATAGGAAAAGCTATACATATGAAATCAGATATCAAATATACCATTAAAGCCTAAATTTCCAGTCCTCAAGTGCTACTGCCCTTCAGTTTATGGATGTGTTCTTGCTCTACCAAACCGGAATAAAACGAGTGGCTCATTTCTAGGCTTTTATCAAACTGTTTGGCAAGGCTGAGCAGATAATAAATTATTTGATCCAACAGCCTCTTCCATGCATTAGAGCTAGGAAAAAAATTAAAAGTTAAAGGGTAATAGTGCTGGAGGAGGGAAGCTGGAGACCCCGGCTTTTGAGAGAGCGAAAGATTAAGAGGCTTCCAGTCACATAGACTTGAAGCTCACTGCATAAAAGTAAATAATCAAAACTACCAGAAACTTGAACTTCTTATCATTTTGTGGCAGAGGTCTGTTCCATTTCCTGTCAGATGCAAAGTTTATGATTGAAACAAACTTTGACATTACATTGTGCTCATTTATTTAACCCACAATAATTCTGATCTCAAACAATCGGATTCAGAATGTAAGATGCCTGTTATTGCCTTTGAAGGTTAATACATTTGTTCCCTGTCTTCACTGCTGTTGCTAACAGGACTAATTGGCTCAGTAAAGTCATTTGAACATGAAACTAGATCACAGGGTGCTTCCTCCCCTCCCCTCTCTGCTGTTGTAAATGTGAAGGTATGTTTATGTGTGCCAAGCAAGAGCTTTTGGCTGTTACAGCAGAACTGCCATGATGTTTTCCTTCTTAAGAAAAATATATAATAGTCGCATCAGTTGCTGATAATGGTTCTTTTGCCCATTCAATAGCAAGTCTGAAGTGCCAAACTAGAAGCATAAACATCAAAATATACAGGCTTCATGACAGTTTCTTAATAACTAAACCAAACCAACTGATTACTAAACAAGTTACAATTAGACCCTAATAAATCTCATCATCAACTCAAGTTTCTCAACTCATTACTGAATCGTAAATGTGTTAATTTCCCCGACCCCAGAATGAAACATATTGAAAAAAAAAAGAGCTTACCAAGTTAACTAACTGATTATTTTATTTTAATTTGATTTATTGTGAACTGGCACAACAAAGAAAACAAAAACCGCACACTACTTTACTGGAAACAAAAGCTTTGGCCTCAGAGTTTGAAATCCTCCATAGTTAAACATAAGCCTTAGTAGTAAAGCCATGCAACCAAAAAGGGAAAAGTTGTTGACAAGTGAACTGAGAACCTGAACTAGTGAACTATAGTAGCTGGCAAATGGATGCTACTTAATTAGTAATGCTGCTTTAGGCTTACATGTCAAGAGTTTAACAATTTATTGGGGCAAAGTAGGTAAGCGGTGCAATAATGTTAAATAGTTAACCAGTGTGCATGAAAAGGTGCATTAGGTAACAACTTCTTTTTTTTTTTTTTGCTTTTTACTACAAATGTCTGGGTTAATTTCAGTAGAGAGCAACCAAAATGTGAGCTCTTAACTACGATAGCCTGCCAGTTTGGACATTTGTGGCACTATATATAGTGTAACCAGTAATAGGAGTTCTGCCGGCGCAGTGCTAGTGTCTAATTAGTGTAGTGTAATGATTAAATACTAGAACTAGGGCCGCACATAACGATTATTTTGCAAATCAATTAAGCTGTCGATTGTTTTTTCGATCAATCTATTAATAATCAGATAGTCAAAGGTTCCTTAAAGAAGATTTTTACGAAATGAAACCAGGTAAAACTGAAGCTTTTCCACGGAATTCTGGATAGAGCATATTGATGAACGAAAATGTCTTTTGTTTTTCATTTTTTGATCTTTTATCTCACATATTGTTATATTTTGATATAATTACTGCTTTAAGTGCGTCGCTCTGTAGATAAAGGCATGTTTTATAGTCTCTATACTCCAACTAATGATTAATCGATTACTAGACTAGTTGACAATTATTTCAGTAATCGATTAATCACGATTAATCTGATGAATTGTTTCAGCCCTAAATAGAACATCAAGTATTTCAACAAATTGCTTGCCATAGAACACCCATATTGAATATAAGGGAATGAAAATAGATTTTATACCAATCCCTATCAAATGTCCTAAGTTGGTAAATAGTTGTTTTAATCATTTATAAATGAAAGTGATCAACCCTACTGCTTTTTTCTTTTTTTCCCCTGGACAATAATGATTTATACCAATCAAAAAAAAACAAAAAACAAAAATAGAAAAAATTAAATAGAATCACTTGTGATTTTTTATTCATTTAAATGGTGACAGGTCTGCTTACCGGATCACTCCGTACATAACAAGCACGTTCCCAAGCAGTCCTAACACACAGATGAGAGAGTAGAGAGCCGTGATGCAGACTGCGATGATGAGACCTGTGGTGTTTCTGGTTTGGACTCCGCTGGTTTGGTTGCTTTTAGAGGACTCAGTCAGCAGATCCTCCAGGAATGTTGCATTCAAATAAGGAATGACAGATACGGAATAGACCTCCCGAAAGTCCTCTGAAGGAACTGTTGGGAACTCCATCACAACTGAAGTGAGAGTTTCAACGCGCAGAGAAATCTTAGTTGTTTGCCTTTTTTCTCTCCCCCACGACAGGTGTTCAGGAGCGCACAACAAAACAGTTCTGTGAGAGGAGAGATATGGAGGATGCTGGACTTGTGTCTCTCTCCTGCTCGCGCCTTTCCGTGCGTCCGTGCGCGCTCCCAGCCGCAGCGCGCATTGGTGCACGATTCAAAAGAAGGCTATTCCACAGGCTTCCTACCAAGATCACAAGAGAACATGGTTTTTGCATCTTTTCTAAAACACTACTATAGCCCATTTGTAGAGAATAAAATATGCAACAAATATTTTAAAATCAGATTTATTTCATTTTTCAAATAAATGTATTTTGGTCATTTTTAGCCGATAGCGCCAATAGGGCTCGGGATCCACGTTGCATTGTGGGACGTCGCAGCCATACTGACTGCTACGCAAACGTAAACTTAGCTCTGACACAACGTTGTTGTTGAAAGAAGAGACAGAAGTAGAGAGAAAAAAGATGTTAAAATCCCGAAAAGGATCTGGAATTTACCGGGACACATTAAATAGAGAAGCCAGGGACCGGTACGGTGACAAAATCAGCATTATTAATCATTTGGATCCATATAAAGTTCCAAACAATGAGTGGAGCACCGATGAGTGAGCGCCTATACTTCAAAACAGTTCCCAAGCTACAAGTCCTTGGAGTCTCATGTGCAGTTCATGAATGGATGGGTTCAGGAGCTGCAGATCATAAAGCCAGCAAACAGTGCGGACACAGTAATCCGTACGAAGGTAAGCTGTGATCAGACGGGCTCTGGAACCTGCTAGTTTAGTAACTGCTAACCGCTAATGCTAACAACCACTCACGCATGTAATGTACTTTTAACTAGCTGCTATGTGTTTCAAAGGTGTAGTTAGTAACGTTAACTGCCAACCCTCCGGGTTTCTCACGTATTTGAGCCTTTTCCCGCTGCCGTTTTTATTATTTTCCCGTAAAAGATCCCAACTTTGAAGGAAAGAAACAAAGTAGGCTATAAAATAAAACCGTGCATCTTTAACTTACCAGAATGAAAATGCAGGGAACACACTCTCAATGACATTGGAATACTGTGGAAAGTTATGTTCGGTCGTCTTACAGCCGCGATCCAAGCTAGCCGACGACTCTTTATCTCTGACGCTTGGTCTCCATGGTTACGCCTCCAGTCAGGAAAGCGGTGGAAAGTTAACCCATTTTCTATGTTTCCATGGCGATCATGTGTTGAGCTGTTACAGCCCACAATACAGCAACGGTTTACCATGGTTGAAATCTAGTTAAGGTGAAATTAATCAAATTAAAACACGGCTGAGAGGGAGTACAGTACGCGGTATTCATAGGCAGTAGTCTGAGCCGCGGTAAAAGACGCATTCAACATGGCGGCGACGCGAAGTGCTTGCGTCACGACGACCAAGCCCTATTCACATCAGACGGCATCCCAATATGATTAACTAGACAAACTGATCCAATTTATGTCTGAATGCTTTCTATAATCAAATGATTGTGATTACACTGACAGTCCAGATTCAATACATTTGATTCAAATTTAATTCATAATGCAGAAGGTTATACTGTTTTGTTTGAGACAACGCTGTCCCATGGAAAAGCTAAAACTCGGGCTGCAGCTCGGCTCTGTCGTGTTTTTAACCCTACTACTGCTGGTCAGTTTTCTTCTGTTTTTAATCAGAACTGTACTATTCCAGAGGATGTGGGAAATAACACTGAGGAACTCAGCAACTGGTTTTATTCTACCAGTAAAGCAGCCTTGGATTTGGTGGCACCTCTAAAAATTAGATTTCCAAAATCCAAGCATGAACCCTGGTTAAATGAGGTCACTCGGGCTGCCAGGAGAGACTGCCGCAGAGCAGAACGCAAATGGAGAAAGGACAAATTACAGGTGTCTCTCCAAACATTAAAGGAATGTTGGCGCTGTTATCAAAGGATTGCAAAAGGCAGCCAAAGAAAATACCTGTCGGGTTTGATTGTATCAAATAGTCAGAATCCTGCTATCCTATTTAAAATTATTAACTCTGTTCTAAACGATTCACATAGTGGCTTTATGGAGACCTCACCTGCTGCATGTGAAAACTTCTTACACTTTTTTGATGAGAAAGTTGCTTCTATTAGGGCCCAGATTATCCCCTCTTCTTATGATCCTTCAGTTGTGGTGCCTTGTTCTGGTGTTTTCCACAGCTTTGAATGTGTGAACTTGCAATTATTGCAGGAGGTGGTTAATCACTTAAGGCCAACTGGTTCTCCAGATGATGTTATTTCGCCCCAATTATTTAAAGAAGCTTTCTCTGCTATAGGTCCTTCTGTCCTTGCTCTTGTAAATAGTAGCTTGTCCTCAGGCATTGTTCCTAACGCTCTGAAGCATGCAGTTCTGCAGCCTCTACTTAAGAAACCAGCTTTGGATCCTACTGTTCTGGCAAATTATCGACCTATCTCTAAATTGCCTTTTATTTCAAAAATTCTTGAGAAGGTAGTCTGTAATCAGCTAATGGCCTATCTTAATGAACATAATGTATTAGAGGTTTTTCAGTCTGGTTTTAAACCATTTCATAGCACAGAGTCAGCCCTTTTAAAAGTTTTTAATGATATACTTTTAGCAACTGATTCAGGTGACGTTGTTGTTTTGGTGCTGTTGGATTTATCATCTGCTTTTGACACAGTTGATCATGTCATTTTACTTTCCCGTCTGGAACAGTGGGTGGGCGTCGGTCACATAGCTCTAGATTGGTTTAGATCATATTTGGCTGAACGTACTTTTTGTGTCTGTCTTGATGGCCATAGGTCCCCCTCTGCTCCACTGTCGTGTGGTGTCCCACAGGGCTCAGTTCTAGGCCCGCTCCTTTTCTCACTTTACCTTCTTCCGCTCAGCTCTATTTTCAGAAAACATGGGATTGCCTTTCACTGCTATGCAGATGACACACAGATATACTTACCGCTAAAGAATGTAAACTCCATCTCTCTTCGGTCTCTGTTTTTATGTCTTGAAGATGTGAAGGCCTGGGTGGCCCTAAATTTTTTAAAACTCAATGAGGACAAGACGGACGTAATGATCTTTGGCAGATCCACTGCTGATTCCGTGACTAGTCTTGGCTCCTTGGCTCAGTACGTTAAGCCGGTTATTACAAATTTAGGGGTTAAGATGGATGCTGGTCTTAAAATGGAAGCGCACATCAGAGCCGTTATAAAGTCCAGCTTTTTCCACTTAAGGCAGCTAGCAAAAGTAAAACCCATTCTTTCCAGACAGCATTTCGAAACAGTGATCCATGCATTTGTGACGACACGGCTGGATTACTGTAACTCACTTTATACAGGGGTCAGCGACATGTATATTTCTCATCTTCAGAGGGTTCAAAATGCTGCTGCACGTCTTTTAACAGGTACACGAAAATTCGACCACATTTCCCCTGTTTTAGCTTCCTTACACTGGCTGCCAGTACATTTTAGGATTAATTTTAAAATTCTTTTATTTGTTTTTAAAACTCTTAATGGCCTTGCTCCTTCTTATCTGTCTGAGCTGTTACATTCTTATACACCCTCCCGTTCCCTCAGGTCAGCTGATCAGTTGCTTCTGAGGGTCCCAAAGACGAAATGCAAGCTCAGAGGAGACCGTGCTTTTTCTGTGGCAGCTCCTAAGCTGTGGAACGATCTGCCTCTAAGCATAAGACAGGCCTCTTCTCTTACTGCTTTTAAGTCCCTTCTTAAGACTCATCTTTTTTCCTTGGCTTTTGACACAATTTGAGACGTTTTACTTTGTTTTATTCTTTTTGTATACTAATATGTATTTTACACTCGTTTTTTCTCTATTTTATAATTTTATTGTATTTTATGATTGTGTACAGCACTTTGGTCCTGTTCGGTGTATAAAGTGCTTCATAAATAAAGTTGGTATGGTATGGTATGGTATACTGGTATTATAAGGTCAGCCCACTGAATCGAGCTTTCCCTGTTTTGAGCAAGCAATCAGCAGCACTAAGCCCAAGGGAGTACAGCCACCTATAGGGAAACAAAAAATGGCAGAAATTTTATAATTTGCTTCATCCAGGAGAGAAACGTGAGCTTAGAGGCTCTGATATATAGTCTTACTTTCAGGTAGGATTTAAAGTACATTTTGATTAATGCAATACCATACAGCTAAGTCCATAAAAAATGTTTTAAGGGCAGAATCCCAGTACAGAACATCCTTCACTCCAGAGGTTATGCTTTCATTAAGAATTTTAAAAGAACCTATCTAATTTTTTCAGAGTTAATCTCTTTTCAATTAATAGATTAGTAATTGGCTGTAATACATAAACTGTCATTAAAATCTACAACAAAAAGTGCAATTAGAAAATAAGAAAATCTACAGATCTTTGAAATACATTGTTTTCCCAATGTACACTGAAAAAATAGTGCAACCATTTTCAGCATCTACTTAATCATATTTACTCCAACAGTTCACATTTTATTTCCTTCCCGTCTAAAAACATTTTTTTTCCACTGTCTACAAAGCAGCTCACCAAACAGGCACCTGCTCTGAGTAAAATATCCCCTAACAGCTTGATCAAACATGTCTGAGCTGAATTGTGGATCTAATGGGGCTTCATTGGAGGATGGGCTGTTTTCACCAGTCAGTCAGCGCCTTGAAATTACCTCACTAAAGCACAAGTTTGACGCAGTTACCTGCCACGGCTGTGTAAATATTTAATGTGGGTTGAAGTCCTAGGAAGTATCAGTCAATTATATGGATTTTTAAAGGCAGAACTAAAAAGGTGATCATGGTCCTTTTTTTTTTTTTCGTTCAATGGTAATTAAATAGTCCAAATGTGCAGGCACATTCATTTGAGGATTCTGCATTCATTATTAGAGGTAAAGCACACAATTTTTTTTCTTTTTACATTAATTCCCTTAGAGGAAATATTTTTTTAAATCTATTGTAAAGAGATATAGAGAAATGTGTTAAATGAATCATTGCCTACTGAATAAATGTACAAAATAATGAAACCTGCTGTGCTTATATCCAGAACATTTTTCTAAAATCACTAGATATAATTAGTGGATTGGTGTTTCTTTTGTCCATTTCCTCCCAATAATATCAGAAACCTTCACAACTCTGTCACTCAATGTGATC